CAAAATGAAATTAGATTAATGGAATTTGAGACTCTTCTATTTTTTTACTTATTATCTGATTGGGAACTTTGGGATACTAATCAAACTATTTGGTTGTCTAATATTTGGTATCCCCAACACTCACACCCTAATTGGTTTAAAGTGAAGAGCAGTGGATCTTATTTTCATTATGATATTTTATATTTTGTAAATATTTTTCTTATGCTTTATTTGCTTTTCAATAAAGCTTCATTTCCCAGTGTTTTGAAAGGCATGCTTAGTAGTTTCTATTGGTTCTAATTTGTAATAGTTTTTTTTTTCTTGTTCTTAATGCAATTTGTATTTCTTCAAAAAAAAATGGAAGGTCATGCATATATATTACATATATTGATATTGTTATGCTTATGTGATGAAATGTATATGTCATGTTTATATGGTGCATGATATCTATGGAGAAATAAAGTGATAAAAGTGGAGGTTGATTCATATTTTATTTAATACGAGTTATACGGGTCTCTATACACATGTATATGTTTCATCTATCTTGAACAAATATGAGATGATTAAGTAGATGTAGAGGTACAAGGGGAATAAAGCTATATGTAATTCCTTCATATATCCTAAATAGATGTGAGATGATCAAGAAGAGTTATATGAAGTAATCAGAACATGTGCATGTGAATCATGCTTTGCATAAATTACATAGAAGTCATGTAATCTTCCCTAAATTTAAGTTCTAGTTTAAATGAAGCTCATGTTGTTGCTATGTACAAAATCAAGGACTGATCATGTTGTTGCTACTTACAAGTTCATGTTGTTTCCACTTACAAGTTCAATAAATGTATATTAGTGACATGTAACTACTATTAATAATCAAGTATACTACTAAAATCATGTTAGGAATAGAACATTGCATAATTACCACATTACTTTTATTGAACTATAAAATATCATATTTAATTCTTATGCAATTTATTTTAATTATAAATATTGAATTCTTTAGTAGGTCCTGGGTAGCCTATTCAGAGAGTGGTTTGATCATCCTATATATGTTTATATGTTAATTCAGAAAAGAGTAAAGTCTCAATTGAGTAGATAAAAATGTTGATAAGGTAAAACATGCAAGTTGTTGCAATGTTCTTTTTTTAGAGTTATTTTTTGTGATACATTCATTTACTTATGTAGTTGATATGTTGAAAAAGGTTATATTGGATTATAGCACATCAATTTTGTGATGAAATGCAAGTTGTTTATATTTCTGTAATATGATGTCTTAGTTGGTTTTTCGTTTACTTATTAATGATGAGTCAAATAAGTCAAGAACAATTCTTCCATTAGTTCATGGGTGTGACATGGCAATTGTCGGAGCAATGATATGTTGAGAGAGTTGCTACTTAGCTTTGCATGTTTTACATTCTTGCAACTTGTATGTTTTTTATTATTCCAAATATTATTATTTTGATTATTATTTTCTCCTAACACAGTTTGGAAGAATTATTTTTGCTCTTGTGTGTACTAACATTACAGGAAAATCATACTCCAGAATGTTGAAGACTTCAAATCAAGATCAGCTTAGAATGTTTTGTAAATTGAAGTCTGTATTTTTCATTTTATTGAGTCAGAGAGAGTGTGATTGTAATTGAGTAACTAAGCACAAATACACACCTGGGGAAGTTTTAAAATTCACATTTTTAAACTAATCGTATTGTATGAACTATGTTCGTATGAGATGATATGGTTAGTTATACTCCCAAAAGAGCAATGGAACGAACAGAGAGGGCAAAAATGTTTTTAAGTGTAGTTCGGCCAGATGTTTTTTCCCATTCGTCCTAGGACGATCTCCTTGGGATTTGTCAATTGCTCTGTTTGTCTAGATGATTTTTCCCCTTTATCCCAGGACGATCTCCTCGGGATTTGTCAATTGCTCTATTCGTCCAGATAATTTTTTCCATTCGTCTCAGGACGATCTCCTCGAGATTTGTCAATTGCTCTGTTCATACAGGTGATATTTTCCAATCATACCATAATGAAGGGTTCTATTCTGTATTCTTAGAATTCGTCCTGATTTTTCATACCAAAGAACTTTAAAAATTAATTGTTCGTACCGGACGAACTATGTTCATACTAGACGATGATCTGGTACGACAGCATTTCGTATTGAATCAATTTGAGATCATACGCAACAATTTTTATATTATTCGTACATACGAAATATGATCATACGGGACTATCGTGGACTTACATATTTGAAAAATGAAGTTTTTGGATGGTTTTTCATGTCTTTTCTAGAAAATGTCCACTTAAAATTGTCATGCAATCTTTTTGTCACTTAGTCTTCTTGAATACTAAAGAGAATTTGAAGGATAGAGTGAGAGAGAGTGTTTGAAGGAGATTTCTTACTATTGGAGCGTGAAGGGTTCACTTCGTTACTCAAAGGTAAGGATCTCTGTGTGTATTTTGTGATTTCTTTACTCTTTTCTCTTGTCCTTTTAGATTTCTCGTGAGAAGATCTTTCAAGAAGATCCGGATCTTTGCCGACACTCGAGGAGTGTAAAGAGCCGAAGGTTCATTGCCTACACTTGGAGAGTGTGAACAGCGGAAGGTTCTCTTTCTATACTTGGAGAGTGTAAACAGCAGAAGGTTCTCTACCGACACTTAGAGAGTGTAAAAGGATGACGGTTCTCTGCTGCACCAGGTAGTGGTGGAAGAGAGTTTTTGTGAAGGCTTCTCCTCCTTGCTGTGGGAGAAAAAGGATAAACACTAGTGGTAATAGTGCAATGCCTAAAGTGGGAGACTTCAGGGAGTGGATGTAGGTTATGTTTGACCGAACCACTATAAACCTTTGTGTCTTTTTTATTTCTGTTGCTTTAATTTCTGTTTTTTATTTTTCTATGGTTGAAAAATTATTTTTGAAAACATAAAAATTAACTTGCTCAAATTTTTAATCGGTTTTGAATTTTTAATTACAAAAAAGAGGCAAAATTTTAAAATACCAATTCACACCCCCCCCCCCTCTCGGTTATAACAATCTAACTCATATTCAACATGATAAAAACAACTAATAGGCAATAGATCCATAATGTTTGGCACTACTTCAACCAAGGTCCTATAGTCTACTTCAATAGATGATTTTGCAACTATTGACTACTTAATGCTCCAAGAGAGTAGTGCTTATCCTAGGTTAAGTATAACACTAATCGTTGTCTTCATTACCCGTCACCACCACCAATATTAACTAATGCCACACATATAAGGTTGATGCACAACACAAACATCAACACCAACACCCACCATCATTACCAATGTCAATAGGCATCATCACCTATATGGTCAATGCAATCTTTGATATTAATATCAACACACATCAACTTTATCATCCGCATTCGCTTCCAAAATCAATGCACATCCTTTCCTATAATACAATTGCACATTGTTGACACCAACATCGATGCTCCCCAACTTTATTGCATATCATCACCTATAAGGTTGATAAACAACGTCAACACCATCACTTATGCCCACCAACTTTGCCTTCTATCATCCCAAATAACATCAATGCTCATCAACTTCAACTTCTAACATCCCCACCAACATCGATTCAAACCATTGGCTATAAGGTTGATGCACCTCATCGAGATCTATTTCAACTCTCGAGATAAAGACCAATATTTAGACTAGAAATTTTTGTTTGTATCCTTCTATCCCCAAAGGAGAATGACCCAAAATACCATGAATGATATCTTAATGGTAGATCCAATGCCTCAAGACTCCTCTAATTTCTACCATGGAATTAATTCTCTATAGTTTCTATCTACTATATTGTATCATCACTTTCCTTGATTATAGCTGCCCTCAAAACCTTCTTTTGAACTTAAATCGCTCACATTTTTCCCCTTAAATAACCTACTTTCCCTAAAGACTTAGCTCCATTCCAGGCTCACCTACATATTTTCCATTTTTCCTTAAAAGTCCCCTTCCTTCTTGCCCTCGACGTTGCCTGTCAAATCAACAAAGCTAAAGGGCGCAACAACAATTTGTCGCCTCATTCACCAACGAAGATAACATTCTTTCCCCTCCTCTGCCTCCCCTCATTCGTCAATGAAGTCTATTTGCCTTGACCTTTCTTTGTGTTAATATTCGTATTCATGTGCCAGAGTGGTGCAATAGAAAGCTCTATAAGTAATTCTAGCATTCTGTACTGATTCTATTCTCTACCATCTATATAATGCTTTACCTTAAAAAAAACAGTTGTGCTATTTATTAATATTTATTTGTGTATGTAGAGATAAATGGCGAATGAACAAAATGAATTTTGTTTTCTCTCTGTTTTTACTATATCTAAAATTTGGGCTACAATCCTTTTTTTTAATATTTTTATGAATTCCATTTTAAAAGTAAGAATCATTTTTCATTCAAATCAGTAAATAATTAGTGAAGTAAATTTTAATTTAATTATTGATTTTGCAAGAATAAAATGATAGAATTTGCTCTACGAGAAGAAATTTCCCACTCCATCGCTCTCTATTAGTATATGTTGAATCTTTATAAAAAAGTAAGATGTCAAACTATTTCTATTTACCATCATAAATTTTCAAACACACATAATTCGCCCTCCTAAACCAAACAAAATCTCGCCATTCACTTTGAGCTATCATACCTAACATATTTGGGAGGTATATATATATACATAACTCTTATTTCACCTTTTATGATAATTATTCAACTGGTTGCCTATAAATATAATTTTTTCGCAGTTTTACTTTTAAGACAAAAGTATAATTTTCTTGCTACTTTTTATCATATTTTATGTTTTCTAACAATTTCCATGACGAAAAATTACTTTTTATAACCAATAGTAAAATTATTTTTCCGTACAATTTCATAAAAAGTTACCGTATTCCTTAAGAGAACCTAAATATTATAAATTTTTAAGCCCATCTTCCAGAATTTAGATCGCTACATTCTGATCAAAATTTATTCTCCATATATAGAAATCTAATACGAATACAATAAAAAATATATAGGCTCTTAAAACTAACTGACAATACCTCATCTTCCCTTAAGAGTTAGAGTGACAGTGGGTAATAAAATATTTTCAACAAATCATCACCAATGAATAGCGCGAGTCCTCAAAAGAGAACTAAAAATCTGACAAGTCTATGGACAGATAGCTATATCCTTCAATGTTAATTTCAATTACTTTCTATAAAATACATTTTAGTATAATATAAACATAGCCATCGTAAGTTTGTGTCCTTAAGGTAAAGCGTATTGCCTTCTTCATGAAGAATCAGCTTGAACTTTAGCCTCGTAGAGAAGCTCGAGGAACTGAAGGCAAACCAAGTTCATCCTCCGCCTGTTTTAAGAACATGAACAATGTATAAATAAAAAAGGCATATGGAATCTTATGCAAAGTTCATTAAATGAAAAGGGCGGCTACTTTAAGGCTTTGTTTTGTTTGAGAAAACTTTCTTCCTCTTTTCTAAATTAGCATTTATAATAGAATTTTGTTTAACTAAAAAATTGTGTACTAGAAAGCTACTCCAAAAAGCAGAAAAAAAAATCATCCCAAACGAAGAGTACGTCAATCCATGCAAAGTCCCGTGAACCAATTACATCTTATTTGAGGTTCAAGCTAACTTGAATGATTAGGCAGACCTTGGAAGGCTAAAAGTCGAGTCAATCTAGAAGCTTCATACCATGTGATTCATGGTATTCACCTTCCCAAAATCAATGAGAATTTGACCAAATCAAGAGCTAGGTGGACGACCATCATTTTAGAAAAATGACTACTTTTATTGTAATGACTCTTGATATTATTCAAAAAATTTGAGATTGCATGAGATTTAATTCATTCAACCGGCCATAGGAGATCAAAAGACAAGCTTAAATTCAGGGATTCAAGCATGACATAGAAGGACACATTTCCAATTCAAAGAGACGTATTATTGGTTCTGCAGATGATGTTGGAAGGTTCATCTTGTGGTTACCTTTAAATTCTTAATGTAACTACTTATATGGATGAAAACAGTGCAATGATGAAATATTACGTGATTTAAAAATAAATTCAAAAAGTTATCTTCTTGAGGAGTTGGAATCTGCTTGGTGGCTTATTCTATTGACTTCGATTGATGACCTTGTCAAAACCAAATATTTTGGTGAAGACTGGCTTACCTTCTTATTTTCTACCCTTTTCCTATATCCCACCACCTATCTTCTCTCTATCAATAACTCCCTCAAATTATACCAGAAAGATTCATATAGTTTAAGCAATTAAATAAACTTGGTTCGCATTTGCAGGCATTCTGCCAATGAGATTTGTTACCTGAACATTCTGCCGGCCAGGCACATGTCCCATTGGTGCTGCAGGCAAGTTGAGTTCTGCATCAAGATCAGGTTCCTTATCTGGTTGAAGGTAAGATGGAACTGAAGATTCAGATTCCGTGCCCATGTCAGCTTCCAAGGCATCAAGCTCTGCAATCAAGATCGATTTGAAATAAAATAACAGGTTAATTAATTGAGAAACCTGTTGAATGCATGAAAAAATTTTATAATTATTGAAATTAATCATCTACAAATTGTAAAACTAATGCCAAATTGAAAAAAAAAAGGTCTTTACTATACCTCCCATGAGTTCTTCCTCATCAATATCATCAGGAACATTATAACTTCTACCAAGAGATTCTTGTATCTCTGTGCTTACGTCCATCAGTTCCATCATCTCATCTTGCATGCTCTGAAGAACAAAGACCAGCAGAAAATTTTCAAGTTATCAAGATCAGAAAACCAGTTTGGATTGTCAGTCTATAAGCCTCAGTATCAGATTTTTTTTTTGGGATAAAGAAGGTAATCCATACATCTATGTCCTGAATTTTGACAGTTTTCATCATTCCTTTCAGCTCCTTATTAGCAGTTTTTAATGCAGTCATCTGAAAGACCACATGCAGATAGATATTAGGTAAATGGTATTAAATACTAGAAATATTGTCCAAAGGTACAACATACAGTTTGCTGAGCATCTTTAAGTCCTTCTGCAGCGAAGGAAACTTGGTCAAGATTATAGGTCTGATTATATAGCATATCTCGTTGTCCTTCATACCTAAGCAGACGGAAGGTATAAATGATTTGATTATATAATGAAGATGGCACCAAAGAGACTGAACGGAATAAACTGACAGGAGCTAAAGAAAGACGAAACACATGAATAGAGTGGTCAATTCAATACGAGATGCAACCATCTCACATACTACATAAAATCTGATTCACTATTTCACAGTTGGAAAAAAAAATTCTCAAGTTGTATCAAAACGTTGTCACAAATATATTTATTTGGACACAGTAGAACACCTCATGGAAAAGGTGAAATGTGGGCTCCAAAAATTCGTGCCCCAGCCTCCCCTCTGCTTTTGGAGGGAGTTTGAATAGATTAAGTTCCGGGGAAATTTTTCAGAAGGCAAATTAGGTTTGAAATAAGATACTACTCAAAGATTTCTTTGACATTTTGCGAGGACTTTATGATCTGAGTTCTAGTTTCCTATAGGCGCAAGCTCATATAGTTAATTACCCCTCCCAACCACAAGAGAGAACTTTCGATATTTAAGTAGATATGTGATATCCGACATATAATAGCTGAATGGTTTGGTATTTGAAAATTTGATATTTAAAATCCGAAATTTCACCATCTTGCACTTAAAGAGGATGGTGGGGGGAGTCATGATGAGCCCCATCAAGATCCCATGGTTCCGTCATCCCGAGGCTTCGTGGTCCCAAGTTTACTTAGTCAGAGGAGATAGTCGATCCAACATGATAGAAGGATCCTTGTCGGCAGCCTTGGTTTGCGTCGTCCAAGGTTACCTTATAGGCCTAGGGTGAATATTTTTCTAAGGAGACCAATTTGAATCCACCTTAGCTAACAGTGGGCTTTGTGCCCTATCGAGCACATCATATTAATTCATATCTCAAGGATTTAATACCATTGGGGAGCATGCGGGCTCTAGCCATGACCGTAATATAATTGTCATTTGGCGGCAAACCACCCAGTTCAAAGGGCCCCCCAGTCATAACCGTTTACCCAATGTGTCATTTAGCAGCAAAACCATTGGTGTGATGCCATTTGGCAGCGAAACCACCGATTAGACGACACATGTCATTTCCTTAGTGGCAAGATACAGATTGAGAATGAATCCTAGTGATATTCTTGACTAGATATTAGCTCTTTATGAGCTGAAGTCATTTTCAGATTGTCCACCCCGACAAATTGTTGCAAGGTAGATGAGTGTTTGCTTTAAGTGTCTAACAATTTATTTTATTTTAATTATCTTGTTCTTTGGGTGATTATTAAAATTTTGGATTTTTATGGGCATTTAGAGGCATTTTAAATGCTTGTGGTTCTCTCCGGTTGAAATTTTTTTGTCAGCATGGGCATCATCAAGGTGAGTTATATGTCATTTGAAAATATTTGTATTTTATGGAAGTTTGAAGGCATGTGAAAATATATAATCCCCTCCAGTTGAGATTTACATTCAACACGGTCATCATCGAGGAATTCATGGGTTGTTATATTTAGTTGATTGAATTTTGTCAACTATATCTATTTGTTGATAGAGTATCGGATTCGGATCTAAATTCATTTCTTAACCTGCGCGACATTCTCAAACGTCACATGTGTACCTACAACATGCTCGTCGAGCCCACGAGAGCATATGTCATTGAATGCATTTCACACAATCCATTCGCGTATGGCCATAATACGATTTTTTAAATACATTTGTGGTGTCGAATGACACACTAGAGTGAAACCCTATGCGTATGCAGAAGGATGATTTTTGAAGTGCAATTACAGTGTCAAATGACATACTGGAGTAAAACCTCTACTTATGCAGGACGTCACTTTGGAATATACTTGCAATGTTGGATGACATACACGTATAGCATATTCTTCAAGTTATGATACGTGCAAATGCAACATATTAGTATGTAAATGCAATACATTTGTTACAATTGAATGCATCTCTCTATATCGGATGGTATGTTTAAATGAGTTATGATGTGTGTTGCAATGCATGTATGAGGAGCATTTTTAAATATTTGCATGCAGTGCAAATGGGTGTTTTGCATTTTTTAAATGCAGCTGGCTGCATGGGTGATTATTATTACCAAACACGCGGGATTTTATTGTGGACTTTACTGACGCATTATGTCTGCTTGTACAAAATGCAGATTCGGTGGCACGATGTTGCGCTTGAGCGGCCTGTAAATTTTATTAGCAAATCTCCGTCTTTTCTTACAAGTGAATCGTAGCGTTGTCACCTAACTTCCATGAAGTACTTCATTGTTCTGGTGTAAGATCCCTTTTCTCATTTTTTTAGAAATCAAATCCATAAATCAACCGATCCTTGTTTAGACTAGATAAGGACATCTAAACGACATGATGTCATTTTGTGATAGATGATGTATCCTTATTTGATGAGATCAAAGGCTCCTTTGGTGCACCGTTAGGCTTTTTTGGCTTATGATGAGGTTATCTCCTCGAAGTATGGACATGACAGAGTGCAAAGTCATCTTCGATGTCTCGGTGACATCCTAATATCTGATATGCACATGGTACATAGAAACTTCTTCCACGGTATCAGAATATGTATTCGAGGGGCCCGTTTATAGATTTATGGTGTATATGTAAGGTGCTGAGTTGAGGGGACTTCGCCCAAATAGCGTGGCATATTTCGGTAACCTCAATTATTTCTAAAGAGATGATCGAATGAGACATCTTTTTTTTCTTTAGCTATTTTTTTTTTTTAATTCTACAGAATCACTTATAAAATCATTCAACTTGGTATGATTAATGTCGCAATTGGGGCCTTCTTCCGATGTAAAATCAAAAGGTTTCTTGCAGCATGCAGATATTTGTGGTTACCTTTATACCAAACATTGTAGGTGTCCGTAGGGAGCACTGTTGTACGCATTCATCATTAATCGTCAGATATTTACTATTGACTACAAGGAAGTTTGTATATTCATCTACATGCTAACATCAGTTGTCAAACAGCACTGCTTTCATTACTAGATGCTTCTAGCACATGTGGGCTGGCAAGTAAATAGTGCACATATGTCCCTCTTAATTGCAGGACACAAGTGCATCTGCTGGATAGTTGTGTGTCCACTGCAATCTCCTGGATGTGCTTATAGAAAAACTAGTGCACTTGCATCATATTTACCCTCACCATTCACAGGTGTACTAATTTGCAGTGATATGCAAGATATTGATGTTGACTGTAGGGAATTATTGCTGTTGACTACGGGCTAGCGGACATTGCTCGGAGAGAAGTTATAGCATCCATTACATATTAGAATTAATTGCCAAATGACACTGCAATCCCAGCTACATCCTTTTATGTAAATTGGTGGGCAATTGGTCCACTGCACATCTATCCCTTCCATTTGCAAGGGATAAGTGTACTTGCTGAATGGCAGCTTGCATATACTTGAAGTTAATACAACTTCTTCAGATGTATTTGCAGAGGGGTTATCAAATCTCTCACCAACATCTACAGAGATTTTTAGTGCATTTGTTTGCATTTGAATGATATTAATTTACGCTCAAGCTATATTTGCCTTGAACTTTGCAAACGCGCCTTAATTGACAATTCACTGCATGTCACTCATTGCTACTTACATGGTTAAATGTACTTGTAGGGAATTGTTGTTGTCGGTTGCATGGACACCCTAGTGTTTGTTGCATGTTACTTGTATTTGCATCATATCCACCCTCGCCATTCACAGGTGGCCTAGTGTACTTGCTTGTAGCGGAGGATTGTACGCAAGTTATTGATGTCAACTTCAAGGCATTATTACATTCGTCGCCTGTTGTCGGCTGTCATCTTTATTTGGTCTACTGCATGCAAAATAGACCTTTTGCTATTGCTTGGAAAGGTAGCTACTTTAATCTGCAAGATGACTATTGCCTACATATAATGCCTTTTGTTGTTACATGTGGGAAGTACTTGTTCATTTCGTAGTTGACTGATGCCACTTGCAAGCCAATCATATTTGAAAGTTTTCCACAGCGAGTTCCATGCTTGTTCGCTTTAACTTGTTTGAATGCATTAAATTTATCATTTGACATTTGCATTTTAATTTTAATTGAGCATTTTAGGATTTAGACTTCAGTTCCCTGTTGTTTAGTTCAAATCTGTTGTCCCTTGTTGTTCAAATTTGATCTACTACTCGTCATACAAGTCTCCCGTGTTTTTATTTAAATTCATGCCCTGTTGTTTAGTTTGAATCAAGTCCCCTGTTATTTCAATCACGTGGATATTCACTCTGAATTTTGACAGCACCCCATCATATCCCCGTTTGGGAAAAATTTGAGGAGCTGGGACTTCCCACCAGGCTAAGAAAAACGTGGATGATAGGTGTGCGAAGACACCGCGGTCGTGGTACCCTCCATAAAAGTTATCCCCGCCATACTAAGAAAAACGTGTACAGAGCCTACCCGTCTCGTCGCAGGTGTCGCATTGGGTTCCCTTCTATCACACTAAGAAAAACGTGCAAAGGTGGTTGCTCGGCGCGTCGCGCATGTTGAGGGCGAGATTTGGAACTTTATACCTTTGCGTAGAGGTTGTCGACAGTGCTGATGTCGATGTCGATGTCTGTGTTGGTTGTGTCAGGGCTACGTTGACAGTGGCACGTAGATCGAGGCAATGCATGAGACTCGAGGCATATTTCCCTTTTTTTATCATTAATTATAATTACTCATAATTAATAGAAATTAATTATAATTAAAAATAATTAATTAATTATAATTAATTAAGATTAACAATAATTAATCATAACTAATTATGATTAATTATATTTAATATTAATTAATTATAACTAATTAATAATTAACTTTCATTAGAAAAGAGTTTATGTAGGATTTGAGACGGATTGTTGCTACAGGCTGTCGGGATACAAAAATTATGTAGAATTTAAACAGGATTTATGCAGATTTTGAGAAGGATTTAACTAAATCATGTTAACAGGATTTAGGGAACCGATTGATCTCACAGCAAGTTAACTCAATTTTCCACTTCTCTGTCGTGAATCCCTATTTTGGTCGAA